AAGGAAGGAAGGAAGGAAGGAAGGAAGGAAGGAAGGAAGGAAGGAAGGAAGGAAGGGAGGAAGGAAGGAAGGAAGGAAGGAGGGAAGGAAGGTAGGAAGGAAGGAGAAAACAAATAAAAGGACATGAGATGTACTTCCTACCCCATAAGAAGCTTGTGGAATTGTGGTGTTAAGTTATAATCATAAAATAATCCTATGGAAAGTTCAAAAGAAAAGTTAATATTCTCAATTACAATGCAGAAAAAAAATTCTTCAAATGAGTAACACAAACTGTTGTAGGATTTCGAAAGACAGAGAGACCATTGGGGTTTGAGGTATCCTGATGTGTTTAGGAAAGAAGTAGGATTTAGACAGGGCATTAATAGCGATAGAATTTGAATCTTGAAGAGAGCGGAATATCACAAGAATAGCGCCCATGGCATGTCAGGGAACATTTTACTCATGACCGCATCATGAAGAGTGTCTGTAATGGTTAAGAGTTAAAATCTGAGGGCACCTGGGTGGCTTGGTTGGTTGGGTGACTGCTTTCGGCTCAGGTCGTGAACCCGGAGTCCTGGGATCAAGTCCCGCTTCCGGCTCCCAGCTCCATGGGGAGTCTGCTTCTCCCTCTGACCTTCTCCCCTCTTGTGCTCTCTCTCACTCTCTCTCTCAAGTAAATAAATAAATAAAATCTTTAAAAAAGAAAAAGTGTTAAAATCTGAGATGGATCCATATAGCACTGCAGTTAAGAACAACTGAAGGCAGATCTGGGTTTGAATCCTGTTTCTACCACTGAAAGGTTGAGGGGCCTTGTCACATTCATTGTCTCTGAAGCTCAGTTTCCCCCATCTTAAAATGGGGACAGTATTAATTACACCGACCTCATAAAGTTGACATGAAGATAAAATGAAAGTTACTCTCCATAGTTCTTGGCAAATAAGTGCTCAGTAGGTGATAGTTCTATGCTCTCCCCCCAGAGTCGCAGTTTGTGGTCTGAAACTTCTAGGGATTGAAAAAGAATTTTCAAAATTAAAAATACAGAACAAAACAGACCTGTATAGAACAGGCAGTCAGCCTTTTTGCTTTCCCTTCATTCACCAGAACAGCGTTATCCCTGCTGATTCCCTTTTGGATCATGACTTTAGCATACTTATTGTTTGATTTTGAAACATCCTTTCTTGAAAGGTATTCTTCACTCTTCCTAAAAATACTCTGAATCCTGCTCACCTCCACTATCATCTCCATGCTTTTCTAGAAAACAGAATGCTCCTGGAGGAAAACAGAAACTGTGCGGATTTCAGATTTGTGTTACTTGCATTTATTCATTCATTGACTTAATAAATATTTATTGAGTACCTATTTTTGAAAGATGAAAAGCTATCGAGGGGAACCTACTTCACTTCCCACCTCCTACCTGCACCTGTAATTCCCTTTCTTTGTTCTCTCCCGTTGCAGAAAGGGAAGAAGAGCTCCTCTTCATTTTAAAAGCTGGACCCTCCACCTGTGCTTTGGAGCCTTGCTTTCATTGGAGCCTTTTGCACTAGTATCGTCTCTTTCCTGTTTCCAACCTCGTCCTCTTTAATGGTTCCTTTCTAGTCAATATTTAAACATACTCAAGTATCCCTCATTAAAAGAAAAAAAAAAAGATAAATCCTCCTTAGTCTTTCATCCACATCCTTCTCCAGCTCTTATGCTCTCCCTCCCCTCCTTCCCAAAGTATTAGCCCACAGACTCTGCCTTGATATTATTAACCACCCCTTACTCCTCAACCCCATCAATCTGGAATTTGTTCCTGCCATTCCTCAAAAACTGTCTCAGTAAGATCATCAATTTTTATTTCTCCTTTTACTTGGCCAGTCTCTGTTTGAAATGCTTTCTTCCTTTAAAGTCTGTGACATCACACACTTCTGATTTTCTTTTCTCTTCTCTAGATTTTCCTTTTTGACCATCTTACATCTCTTTTGTGCAACCAATAAATGTTTCTCACATTCTGTGCTAATGCACACATCTCTTCCTACTTTGGCTTTTACCTAAGGTAAATGGCCTTTTTTTTTTTTTACCATTGGCATACCTACAACTCTCAAATCCATAGTTTCACACTCACATATCCAACTGCCTCCATAAGCCCTCTACCTGAATTTTCCACTGGCACCTTAAACTTGGCATATCCAAATCTAGACTTATCATCTTCATTCCCAAACCTGGTCCTCCTCTGGTGTTTCTCAGCTCAGTACATGCTAGTACCAGCTGCTCTGAGAGTCATCTTCGACCATTCCTTCTTCACCATTCATTACAAATCAATGACTGATTTTGTCATTATACTTTCTAGATATTCTAAAAACCATCTTCTTTTCCATTTTTACCACCATCATCTCTTATCTAAGCTACTGCAAAAATCTTCTTTAAAAAAGGGCTATCACTGTCAGTGCTTATGTGTAATATAATGGTTGTCCATTGACTTTGATAAAGTCCAAAATCCTTAATATGGTCTACAAGGTCTTATACGTTCTGACCCCCGTCTGAGCATCCACCTTCATTCTATGTCCCTTTCCCCACTTTTCTCTCCCTAAAGACATGTTCATCTCCCATCAGTGCTTCAATGCATCATCCTCTCTTCTCTTTCACACCTATCTCTCCTCCTCTCTCCTAGCAACCTCTCCCCTTCACCTAACCACTCCTATTTGTCTTTTTAGGTTTTGGCTTAAATGAAAGCAGAGTTGGCCAGTTCTCCTTCTATACATTCATATTATGCCCCATTCTTACCTTTTCTAACACTCCTCACTTTTAATATGGTCTACCTTCACTAATAGTCTCTAAACTCCAGAGTCCTGCCCTACCTATCAATGTATTCTTAGTGCATAGCATAGTGTCTAGCAAATTTTGGTAATAAAATATATATTAATATTTTCATATAGTAAGTGACAGATCAGTTTCAACTTTATTTCTGCAAAGTCTTCCTTGACTCATTCAAGCAGAATCGATAACTTCCATGTTAACATAACCACTATACCAAAGATACTATCTATATCTTATTTCTCTTTGTATCCCTGGCACTTTACTTGGAGTCTGGAACCAAGTGAATACTCAATATATGCTTATAGAATTGAATTAACAGATGTTGCCAACCAGCTGGATATGAGATCTGAGGGAATAAAGAAAGTCAAAGATAAATTCTGAAATGTGGGCTATCCTTTAACAGAAATGGAAAACTTGGTAAAGGAAGGTGGTTTAAAAAGTAAATATATGTAGTTCTGAGCATAGGTATTAATAGTCATAGTGACAGAGGGAAGGATTTATACAGAAGGTCAATAAAGCAACGGAGTCCTGAAATGGAAACGTGAAGAAGATAATTCCCAGAGTAGGAAGTAGTCTGCTTTAGCCAGGAGAGGGCTAATGGATGGGATACATTCTAATTTGCTTAGGACAATCCCAGTTTACATCTGTTATCCTAGCATAATAATTGATGGTGCTGCCCCCTTGTATGCTTATAGGTGTCCAAATAAATTAGGGGTGCCCAGCTGGCTCAGTTGGTAGAGCATGCAACTCTTGATCTCAGGGTCTTGAGTTTAAGACCCATGTTGGGCATAGAGCTTAGTTTAAAGAAAAAAGAGTGTCCAAATAAATTATATGACCAGCCAACCAGAAGACCACACGAATTTGTGAAAATAGTGAGTTAAGGGCAAGAACATTTAGGACAAGAGCATAGCAAGAAATTAGAGTGATTTCAAGTTGCAGACAGTGAAGGAATGTACTGAACTGAATGAGATTTTTTATTTTATTTTATTTATTTGACAGAGAGAGAGAGAGAGAGAGAGATCACAAGGAGGCAGAGAGTCAGGCAGAGAGAGATGGGGAAGTAGGCTCCCCACTGAACAGAGAGCCCAATGTGGGGCTCAATCCCAGGACCCTGGGATCATGACCTGAGCCAAAGACAAAGGCATAACCCACTGAGCCACCCAGGCGCCCCTTGAATGAGATTTTATAAAGGGCTATGAAATGAATGAGCTAGCCGCTTCTGGATGAGCATGTCACAAAAACTGCTGATAGGTGGGCATTTTCATCCATATTTTACAGATAAACTAATTGAAGCTTAGATTAAATAGCCCACTCAGAAAGTTAGCTAAAATGTAGCTTAAAAAGTAGAACATAGCACCTTTTTCTTGCTCCCAGCCATCTTGGTGGCTGCTCTTGGTTGGGGTCTGCCCACACCTAAGGCAGGAAGACGGTGGTTGCAAAGAAGACAAAAAAGGTACTGGAGTCTCTTTACTCTGGGCTCCAACTCATTATGGAAAGTGGAAAGTATGTGCTTGGGTACAAGCAGACTCTGAAAATTATTAGACACAGCAAAGTGAAACTGATCGTCCTTGCCAACAACTGTCCCGCCTTGAGGAAATCTGAAATAGAGTACTATGCCATTTTGGCCAAAACTGGTGTCCATCAGTACAGTGGCAATACTACTGAATTGGGTTTAGAATGTGGGAAATACTGTGGGGTATGCACACTGGCTATCGTTGATCCAGGTGATCCTGATATTATTAGAAGCATGCCAGAACAGATTGGTGAAAAGCAAAATATGCAAAATTCATCTTTAATGAAACTGGCCAGAGCTTGTTTAAAAAAAAAAAAGTAAAACATAGCTAGAAAGCAGAACTAACAAACTATAAAAAAGTAATTGAAAAAAAAGCCAAAGGGGGAAATAACTGGAGGTCACGAGAGGTCCCTTCTCTGATAACTTGTAGGCATTTTGAGTGGGAAGGCAAAATAAGCATCAATATGATGACTTCCCCATAAAAGAAGGCAACCACTACTACCAACATTCTTCACTAAAACTTGCAAAGTTAGTGCTCACTAATTTTCTGGAGTCCTGAGCTTTGCTGAAAACCACCCCACCCTTTTTTTTTTTCCAAGAGAGAAGCAATTCCAGGAAGTAACATTAGTGAGATGAAAAACAGACACCTGTACCCTGGGACACAACTGACTTCAAAACCAGCTTGTAGGTAGAGAAAAATAAAATATTCAGGGGCAAAAGGAAGTTAATCTTGGCTAAAATGGATGTCAGAGAAGATATCATTGCAATGAAAGCCAAAGCAAAAAAGGGATAACCTAAGGAGAGCCTGGAAATATATGTGTAAGAGTGAAAATTACTCCCAAAGTCAAATCACAGCGAAGCAGTGGAGTGATACCACCGCGGTATGAGCAGAGAAGGTAAGACAAAGGAATATAAACATTTCATGAGGATGACTTAAAGGTTCTAAGTCAGAAAACGAGTTGACACTTGTGATCATACCTACAAAGTGAGTGAAAAATTGCATTTTACCTGTAAATATCCTTCAATCTTTCCCAAGAGCTAAATAAGGTGCTCTTTACTATGTAATAATAGGAGTTTCACTTTTTACTGCCTCCCTCATTGAATGGTGCCTACTAAGCAATTATATTTCAGCGGTGCTGCATCTTTTCCCTTTTCCCCTTCTTCTGAAGATTAGAAAGAGATGAATGCACATAAGCAGTGAGAATTTCACTTTAAGGCTATCAGTTTTAAGAAGCACTTTGCACAAGTGCACTTCATTTAAGAATGCTTTTGATACATCTGTCTTTCCGTGGGACAACCCAGCCTGGTGTGAAGAACAAGTACTATAAACCAAGAAACCAATTTAGATAAATTTAGAATTTAGATAAATTTAGGTAAATCTAAATTTAAAAAAAAAGATAAAAAGAACTTAGATAGAATTTAGATAAATTTCTCTATTATCCATTTTTTAAAGTTTATTTATTTAAGTAACCGCTACACCCAATGTGAGGCTCGAACTTACAACCCCAAGATCAAGTGTTGCATGTTCCCACAGCTGAGGCAGCCAGGTACCCCATAAAGTGAGTGGTCTTTTTTTTTAAAGTTATCTCTAGGCCCAATGTGGGGTTCAAACTTATGACCCCAAGATCAAGAGTCATATGCTCTACAGACTGAGACAGCCAGGCATCCCTCTATTATTCTAATAGTCACTTTTTTTCTATATATATCGTATGGTTGGTTGTTTTCGTTACTATTGTTTGGTGACAAATTCCACACAAAAGTAAGGTTAGGTATTGTTAAGGAATGCCTTGTAAATATTAAATCCTTTTTAAAATCATTATAAAGGCAGACAAATTATTATGCTTTTCTTTATTCCTTTCCTCTATTTTTGTAACAACCTAACATTCTCTTGAATAAAAAGACTCATGAAACTTAAAAGTTTGAATAAATGCTGGAGGTCAAGTTAAAATTGGTATTTAAGAAATAATTCAACTTGTATGGCCTCTTCTTAATTTACATATTAGTCAATCAATAAACAAACATTTGTTCAGCGCTTCCTGTGTGTCAGGAATTATGTTAGGCTGTGGGAGGGAAGGGATCATCAAATCAAAGACAGTTTGGATTATAAGAAACATCTCAATTTTCTGAGCTGTTAAAATGTGGAAAATATGCATCTAAGAAGTGATTTTATATGAGTAAAAAACAATGAGCTTCCACAGTGAAAAAACAGAATCTATTCATATCCAAGTGAGAGCTAGAAACACAAAACATCTCCAGAAGTTTAGCGCAATGAGAGGTCCCAAGGAGCTGAGTGAGGGGAGGGAGGGAGGGGCCCTGTGTATGACATTGGCCTAGTTCTGTTAAAGCATTTTCTACCGATTCTATAAAGGCATTGGCAGGAAAAGAAAAAGTTAAAAACTAAGATTTATACTTTACCCCCTGAAATGGGACAACTTTAAGTTTTGTTAAGACTCCTGAATTCTATAGTTATACCAACCAGAAACCATGATATCTCTTGTGTTGGAAAATTTAACTTACCAACAATTATGTAAATTATGAATTAAGCAAATACATACTTTGCTAAAATAAGAAGGAAACTTGGGGGAAATGGCCCAAATCATTTCAAATTTGAGCTTGTAATAATGGATGAAAATACTCTGAGATCATAGTTCTGGAATCATTTCTATGCTGGAAGAGTGAAAATCAAAATTGTTCTCCAGGGGAAGTTCTAAACTGTATCTGCATTTACAGCTCTAGATTCGTTTCCCGGGCCACTACTAAGTCCCTGTTTCCCCACCCCCACCCGAAGCTATAAGTATCAAGACCTCCAATCTCTGTTTAAAGAGGACCCCAGTTGATGCTACACCTAAGAATTCAGTCTTAGGACAACTCTTCATTCCTCCCCTCAAAGAACCTTGAACTTCAACCTTCTTAGCTCCCACTACTGTCCTTCGCTGCATCTCCTGAGACTAATCACACTTTTGCATGAGAACAAATACTTGCAGGACCTTCCAGACCACAGCTGACTTTTACTAAACCTTTGTGTCCACTGTTCTCCAGGAGTCAGCTGTGACTAAATCACCAAGCTTCATTCCACTTTCCATAGGTCAAAGCTCCAAACAGAATTACCTGCTCTCTTCCCAAATTTGTCCTCTATGGAACTGTCATTCCTAAAATGTTTTACACTTCCTTAAGCCTAGTGTAATCCCTCTCCTCCTTCCCTACACAAACCCTCCATTTACCTTCTGGAATTTCAACTCCTCTACACATTCAATCATTTCCCGGAATGTTCTTTCCACTTCGGTATTTATTTCAACCTAGACTTCTCTAGGCCACTTCCCAGGCTGCTCCCTCCAGTGAGGTCTGTTCATATTTTTCACATCTATTTAGTGTCAGGAGACCAGGATACTCCCCAGTGCTAGGTCAGAGTCCACTGTTCCCCCACCCTTTTGTAAAAACCCCTGCCACCCTCTCCCTGATTAGTCACTGTAATCCACCTGCCCTGTGTGGACTCATTGTTCACAGAAGACACTGGCACTTGGTTACTGTGTTCTCTGGTATTGCAAGTCCTGCCGTCATCCTAAGTGAGTTCGAGTCCTCATGAAAGACCCACCTAATCGCCGAAGTCCTCCTCCAATACTATTTGGCCACCTAACCCCCACAATCACTCATCACCTAAAACCCCTCTATTTATTTTTTTCTTTCTCTTTCTTTCTTTCTTTCTTTCTTTCCTTCTTTCTTTTTTTTAAAAAGATTCTATCCATTCCTTTGACAGACAGAGATTACAAGCAGGCAGAGATGCAGGCAGAGAGAGAGGAAGGGAAGCAGGCTCCCCGCCGAGCAGAAAGCCTGACTCGGAGCTCGGAGCTCCATCCCAGGACCCTGAGATCATGACCTGAGCCGGAGGCAGAGGCTTCAACCCACTGAGCCACCCAGGCACCCCTATTTTCTTTATTTCTAAAACCACTAATTCTTTTCCCCTCTCCCCTAAAATCACTAATTCTAATAGTCCACTTTCAGTTCAGTTATTACACCAGCCTGATGGCAAATGCCCTTCCCTCTGTTCGAAAAGATTATTGATCACTTCACTTCCTTTCTATCACCCCCTTCCTATCTTTACTTCTCCATTTATCTAGCTTAGCGTTCATGGTCTATCATTTCACTAGCTCTTAGAATTACCCTGAACTCTCTCCTTGAATGCATTCTTTCCTTGTCTTCTAAGACACCACACTCTCCTGGTTTCTCTTGCTTGTCCAGCAGCCTTTCACAGACATTTTTACTCCTTTCTCCCTCCTCTATTACTAAATGTTTAAATGCCGGAGTCTTTCAGGGACCTGTCCTAGGTGCTTTTCTCTTTTCATCAATACCTTTTCCTTAAGTAATCAGCTCTTCCAATGGGTTCAATACTACTATCAGTATGCTTATGCTCTTCAAATTCATACCTGAATTTAGAATTGTTGTTTAAGCTCCAGATTGATGTAACTAACTGCTTACCTGACATCCTCAGATGAATACTTCCAAGGTATCTTCAACTCAGTGTATTCAAAAGTAAACTCATCACTTTTCCATTAAAGATATTCTTTCCATAAACCTGAGTCACCTTTGACATCTCCCTCTCTTACTTCTCCCATATTTAAATAAGATCTGTTAATTCAATCTCCAAACTATTTCTCAAAATTTGTCCATTTTTCTCCATCCCTACCACCACCTCTCTGGTCCAAGTCATTATCACATGCCATGACCAATAAGTGCTAGAATATACAACAGCAAAGGGGTCTCTTGCCTGGATCACTTAAATAACTGGTCACATTGAAATCCCTTTTTTCCCTCCAGTCTATTTTCTTTGGAAACAAAGATTCATTCCTTTTTTTTTTTTTTTTAAGATTGTATTTACTTGTTTATCAGAGAGAGAATAAAGCAGAGGGAGCAATAAGCAGAAGGAGAAGCAGGCTTTCTGCTGAGTAGGGAGCCTGATTCAGGACTCAATCCCAAAACCCTGAGATCATGACCCGAGCTGAAGGCAGACACTTAACCGACTGAGCCACCCAGGCATCCAAAAACTTTTATTTTATTTTTTAAATGCAAATCTGATTTTGTCATCTCCTGATGTGTGGATTAAACTAGATTATGCATGTAAAGGACTTAGTGTCTGGCACATGATAGTCAATAAATGCTAATCAGTGGATGTATGTTGAATAATTCAGTAAATGACTTTGGAATAACTGGCCAGCCATTTAGGAAAAAAATACAGCTTTATCCCTACTTCACTCCTTAGACCCAAAACATGTGGGGGGCGGGGAATGAAACCATAAAAATACTTGAAGAAAACACAGGGAAATAGT